ACTCTACCCAGGGGGACAGCTTGAGGCTCTGTCTCAAAAAAAAAAAAAAAGGTCTGGTGTGAGAATTCAGGCCAGCACATCAGCTTCCTGCAAGGCCTTGGGCCAGAGCTCACCTAGGCTTGTTGACTTTTCTGGGTCGTAAATTGTATTCCCTTCCAAAAAAACAAACAAAGATCTCCATACTTACACTGTCACCTGTCTCAGAAGTGGCATTTTAATAGCTTTTGTTAATGGTGGCAGCAGCAAGAGAAAGGGGAAAGTCTGCCCTGCCCTGAGAGCAAGGGGCTCAAGCTCCGAGGGGTCATACCAACAGGTCTAACCATTCTTGTTCCACTGAACTGAGGCCAGGAAGGTCCGGATTTCCATGGGCTGTAGCGTGACAGTGGCCGAATCCAACAGATAGGGAGTGGAGTGGGGTGTGGGGCCTGGGGAGGTGCAGGGGTGGGGGTAGGAGTGAAGAATACAGAGCTCCTTTGCCTCACCCCACTGTGCTCCCACCTCTGGGCCTAACACAACAATCCATCCCCAAATCTGTCCCCAGGGCCTCCCAGACCCTTAAACTACTTCCCTGGTCCCAGTATCATGGCCAGGTCCTCAAATCCCCTCTAGTTCCTAGCCATAGTCCTCATACCCTCTGGTTAAGCCCAGTAGTAAAAGACACCCTCCCACCAGTCAATGATGGTGACTGTTGCTCTTAGGACTAAACTCCATCCCAGATCCATTTCAGATCCTTAAGCCCCTAACTTGGATGTGGACACTGCCTCAGACATTCAGGTTCCATACTGGATCCTGGCCAACAATCCTAGGTCTCACATGCAGCCCCCAGCCCCCTACTCCAGGCAGGACGCCATCCCCTACTCTTGAGTCAGGACCTCACCTGACTTCAATGTCCATTTGAGCCTGGAGGCAGAGGCCCGGAGCTGGTTGGCTGCCAGCGTGGTCTCCTGCAGGCGGGTGATGGTGAAGGCGGAGAACATGTCCTGTAGGGAGTAGATGGGTCAGGTTAGTGCAGGCAAAGCGGCTGGGTTTCCCCTGTCCACCGCTCTCTTCCCTCTCTCCAGTCTCTTTTCCAATTCTGCCTTCCTCACCTGCAAGTCCAACGTCACAGGGGAGCTCAGGTTGCGTCCTGAATCCTCCCCCAGGGCAAACTGGTGTTCCAAGCGCAGCAGCAGCATCTCAGGGCCCCAGCGGGCCAGCGTGAGCAGATGCACCGAGGGCGGTAGCTCCCTCCGCAGCCCCGAGTACTGGGGGGGAGGAGGAAGGCGTGACTGAGTTGGAAAGGGGCAGAAAGACTGAGGCAACTAGGGGATCAGGTGATCCCAAGCTGGGGCAGGGTCCCAAGATGAACGCCTCTCCCTGGAAGGGACAAAACTCTTCTGGCCTGAGTGTTAAGGTAACGTTGAAGGCTACTGAGAGCGGGAGAGGTGGGCTAGCCAAGGGGAGGGGTGAGGCAGGACCGCGGAACCTGCAGAGGGAGGGAGGGAGGGAGTGATGAGGCTTACAGTGTAATTGACCTGGCTTTAGCAAGACAGAGGAGGTAGTTAAAGGGATGAGCTAGGACTGTGCCCTGACACAGTCCAGGTGCGTTGGGGCTAGGCAGGGACTAGCTTGGGCATGGGGCTGAGTGAGACTAGTTATAGCCTCCCCAGGGCAAATTAGGGAAGGGGGCAGATCAGATGGTTCTCCGCTGAGCCCTGGAGAACTCATACTCAACAACGCCCCTTGTAGGTTTCATTCTGGTCCTCTCTTTCTGCCCTCCCCTGCTGCCCCTCACCTGTAGGCGTGGAGCAGCCCCAAGGTTGTAGGGGACGCCGCCACCCGGGGCCAGCACCACCTGCGGAGCCAGGACCACCTTCTCTGCCAGCAGACGGTGCCCAGAGGCCGCAGCCTGAAAGGTGTCCAGCAGCACAAGGTGGCGCCCTCGCACCAATGCCCCTGACCCCGACTCCATCAGTGGCTCCCCTATGCCACGTCTGTCATCGTTCACCAGCCTTCGGTGCACCTGGGAGGAGAATGGCCAGGAAAGGGTGAGGGTCGTGAGTCTATCAGGTGTCCTTGGGCCAGAAACTGAGTAAAGGCTTATGAGAATATCAAGAAAAATTAAAGGGTGGGTGGGCAACAGATAAGGATGAAGGTGAGGATCTGGTATGGAGACCCCAGCAGAGGAGGGATCCAACCTAACAAGGGGACTAGGACAGAGGGAAGTAAGTACCTAATGAAGGACCCAGACAGGGCACATTTTGAGGGGGTGGGGGACCCGGGTAGAGATTGGATAAAAGCTGTAGGAAAACAAACATAAGAATAGAGTTCTCAGTTTATTAGGGACCACAAGCAGAAAGCTGGGCCAGAAACAGCCTTCAATATTCAGCAGGATGACTGGGATGGGAGGGCACTGGCTTGGATGGGGAGCTGACCTACTCACCATGAGCTCCAGGGAGCCATCTCTCACACTGCTGCCCCCCTGGGAGCGGTCAGTCAGCACTGTCAGCTGCACTTGCCCATCCTGGGAGGTGAGGGGTGACAATGAGGGGCAGAGGTTCCAGCCCAGCCTCAGGTAGTTAGGAGATGATTTAGATAAAGGGTGGCTCCCAGGCAGCGCCTGTGGCTCAGTGAGTAGAGCGCCGGCCCCATATACCAAGAGTGACTGGTTTCAACCCAGCCCCAGCCAAACTGCAACAACAAAAAAAAGGGTGGCTCCCACTCTGTAGAGGTGAGAAGAGGCAGGATAGGAGCGGTACCGTGATATAAATCCGGCTGTTCACTGGGTAGTAGTTTCCTGCCACCTCCTCCGTCTGGTTCAGGTTCCAGGTGGGTCGATAATTCCGCCTGGGGTTGGGTGATTTGGTCATGTTTGGGGTCTATTTTCCCTACTTCTCACTTTCCCTTCCCCCTCTCCCTCCCACACTCATGTGATCAGAATATTCTTCCACTGCCTCTGGGCCCCAGCACACCACAAGCCACCTTTCTATTCCCTCAGTCAATCCTACCTCCTCTCCAGGATTTCCCGGCCATTGCTGTCTGTGTAGAAACGTTCATTTGTCTTTAGTGGTGTGTCAAAGCGGCTAATGACCTCCTTCCCCCAGGAATCGCTGTAACAGATGGGATGTCAAGGTTATTAGCTTCACCTAAAACCCACTCTGTCCTTGCCCCCACACCCCAGTCCCAGCCTGTACCACTCACATCACAGGTATTGGCCCTACTGTCCACTCCAACTCTAGATGCTGCTGTCCTGGGTACAGGCGAACCACCTGGGAACACCAGGCTGAGAAGTTCTGGTGCACCTCCTGCACCAAGTCTGTCTGTGGACACAGGGCATGAAGGGCAGGTGTTAGCTCACATCTGAGCAGAGGTAAGCCCCGCAAATGTCCCCTTAACCCTGGCTTTGAAACCCATAAGTGCCTTTTTCAGGGTCAACCCCACTAACAGCATGGAAACTTCACCCACCTTCTCCACCTGCCTAGGTGTGATGCACACATTTTCTATTTCAGTCACTGCCACATCATTCTTGATTGTGGCATGAATGCTTTCTGTCCACCATTCTACCATGTCCCCTCTTTAGAACAGGATTCCAGCTTGGCATACGGCTAATTGGAATAAAAACTATATTGTCCAGTCTTTTCTGAGGATATCAGTAGCTGTGTGACCATGCTTTGTTCCCCCATGAAGAGTAACCAAAGTGGTGTGAATACTATTCCTTGACCCTTTCCCTCTGCCCCTGGCTCAAATGCAGATGTAATAACTGGAGGTTTAGCAGCCATCTTGGACCATGAGGTAGAAGCTCAATGTTGAAGAAGGCAGAGCAATGAGAGAAAAAGGGCCTGGGTGGCTGTGGAACCTCCCCACCTTCCCTGGATTGCTCAGCCAGACTTCCTTTTTTTTTTTCTTTTTTGAGACAGAGCCTCAAGCTATGCCCCTGGGTAGAGTGCCGTGGCATCACAGCTCACAGCAACCTCCAACTCCTGGGCTCAAGTGAGTCTCCTGCCTCAGCCTCTCAAGTAGCTGGGACTACAGGCACCTGTGACAACACCTGGCTATTTTTTTGGTTGCAGCCTACATTGTTGTTTTGGCAGGCCCAGGCTGGATTCAAACCCGCCACCTTAGGTGTATGTGGCTGGCGCCTTAGCCACTTGAGCCACAGGCACCGAGCCCAGACTTTCTATTAAAAGGAAAGAAATCTTCAGGCCAGGCACAGTGGCTCACCCCTGTAATCCTAGCACTCTGGGAGGCCGAGGCAGATGGATCGCTGTGCTCAGGAGTTTGAGATCAGCCTGAGCAAGAGCAAGACTGCATCTCTACTAAAATATAGAAAACCTAGCTGGGCTTAGTGACAGGTACATGTAGGCCCAGGTACTTGGGAGGCCAAGGCAAAAGAATTGCTTGAGCCCAAGAGTTTGAGGTTACTGTGAACTATGATGACACAGCACTCTACCCTGGGTGACAGAGTAAGACTCTATCTCAAAAAAAAAAAAAAAAGAAAAGAAAAAAGGGAAGAATCTTTTGTCTTGTTCTTGGTACAGTTAATTTGGGTAACTCTGTTAAAACAAGCAAAACTACATCTTAATATGATGACCCAGGTATGCAGATGTTCACCTCAAACAGAAGCATATATAAAGGTGAGGTTCTTAAATTTGCACACGTGTCACTCTCACCATTATCTGCCCCATTCCCACCATAAGAGGAAACATCAGGGCAGCGCCTGTGGCTCAGTGAGTAGGGCCCTGGCCCCATATACCAAAGGTGATGGGTTCAAACCCAGCCCCAGCCTAACTGCAACAACAACGAATCTGGGTATTGTAGCGGGCACCTGTAGTCCCAGCTACAAGAGAATTGCCTAAGCCCAAGGAGTTGGAGGTTGCTGTGAGCTGTGACTTCACAGCACTCTACCAAGGGTTAATAAGTGAAACCGTCCCAAAAAAAAAAAAGAGAGAGAGAGAGAGAGAGAGGAAACATCAGTGTGAGACCATGAGGAAACCACTGTTTCCAGCCAGAGGCACTCTCAGAAATCCACCCTAAGTGAGACTCATCCATCTTTTTTCTTTTTTTTTTTTTTTTGAGAAAGAGTCTCACTTTGTCACCCTTCATAGAGTGTGGTGGCATCACAGCTCACAGCAACTTCAAACTCTTGGGCTCAAGTGATTCTCTTGCCTCAGCCTCCTGAGTAGCTAGGACTACAGGACCCACCATAACACCCAGCTATTTTTAGAGACGAGGTCTTGCTCTGGCTCAGGCTGGTCTCAAACCTGTGAGCTCAAGCAATCCACCTGCCTCAGTCTCCCAAGTGCTAAGATTATAGGCATGAACCACAGTGCCCAGCTTTCAAGTGTGAACTCTTAAATATCCATCCCAGATATAAACTCTTCTTACTATAGCACTAAGTGACTTTTTTCTTTTTTAATGGAAATAGGGTCTCACTTTGTCACCCAGGCTAGAATGCAATGGCATTATCATAACTCACTGCAACTTCAAACTCCTAGACTCAAGCAATCCTCCTGCTTCAGCCTCCCAAGTAGCTGGGACTACAGGTGTGCACCACCATACCCATCTATGTTGTCCAGTTTGATCTCAAACTCCTGGCCTCAATCCTCCTACCTTGGCCTCCCAAAGTGTTGGGATTATAGGCAGGAGCCACTGAACCTGGCCCTTGGTGAACTTATGAAGCAGCTATAATTGGCTCTCCCCATTTATGACCTAAGTAGGAACATGCCATCCCCTGCCCCCAAATTTCCAGAGCTAAGTATAATCCTGACACCCACAGCAGATGTGAATGCCTTTGCATGTGTCTCCTCAGAAAAGACTCTTATACAGTCACCCATGAATATAAATGCTTGGGAGAATCCTCAAATATTCCTAAGACTCAAGTCTTACTTAGCTACCTTATCTGAAAGAGATGTTAATCCTCCCATCTCCACTCTGCATTCAACCTACCAACCTCCACACTCTCCCACCTCCCTTCCCTTGCTCTACCAAATGCCCACTTGTCATTTCTGGTCACGGACCTTCACCACACGGATCTGAGCCCAGCGTCTCACAGGCAGTGGTTGCGACTGGTTGGGTCTGAAGATGTAAGCACCTGAAACCTGGTCACTCAGCCTGTCGCCCCTACTAGCGAAGTACCTAAAGCAGGGCAGGTGAGAGTCTGGTAAGGGATTCAGGCCCCACACACCACCTACCTTCCCAGGCCCGGTGGTCCTAACTTACGAGAAGAAGGCCTGCTGAACAGGCAGTAGCAGTTTCTTGTCCAGGTTCTCAATCTCCATCAAGAGCCCCGTTTTAGGGTTGAACGTTGCCCGGATGTGCTGGGGAGTAAAGGGTGAGCAGTTGTTGATGACCATTGCCTTAGTCCTCCATCCATCCCAGGGTTCAGGACTAAAGCTTGGAGTCACCCTTATCTCCACCACTCTCACTCTTCACACTTGATCCTAGTAGCAAATCCCCAAAATTTTATGTTCAGCCTTATTCCCAGTCTTCCCACTTTGTGGCCTTCCAGGACTAGTACAATCCCTTCTAGTTTCCAAAATCTCCATGCAGGTCCCCCCCAGTCTATTCCCCACATCAGCCAGAGCAAACTTGGGTATCTGATCCAGGAACCACAAAGTCATGAGACACTTAGGATCCACAGGAATATTTTGACTTCTTTTAGAAGCAGAAGAAAACATGAATATAATAATGAATATATTAGAATATATTCATGGGAGGCACCTGTCCCATATACCCAGGGTGGCAGGTTCAAACCTGGACCCAGCCAAACTGCAACAACAACAACAAAAAATAGCTGGTCATTATGGTGGGCGCCTATAGTCACAGCTACCCAGGAGGCTAAGTCCAAGAGCTGGAGGTTGCTGTGAGCTATGATGCCACAACACTCTACTGAGGGCAACAAAGTGAGATTCTGTCTCTAAAAAAATTTTATATTCATGCCTATCATCCTACCACTTTGGGAGGCCAAGGTGGCTGGATCACTTGAGCTCAGGAGGTGGAGACCAGCCTGAGTAAAAATTGAGAACCCCATCTCTACTAAAAACAGAAAAACTAGATGGGCATTGTGGTGGGCACCTATAGCCCAGGTACTCAGGTGAGGCAAGGGGATTGCCTAAGCCCAAGAGTTTGGGGTTGCTATGAGTTAGGATGCCACACTCTACTCAGGGTGACAAAGTGAAACTCTGTCTCCAAAACAAACAAACAAAAAAAAAAAAAATCCAGGTAGGCCTCATTATAACATAGTCTTTTTTTTTTGAGACAGAGTCTCACTTTGTCACACTTGGTAGAGTGCCGTGGCATCATAGCTCACAGCAACCTCAAACTCTTGAGCTCAAGCAATTCTCTTGCCTCAGCCTCCCAAGGAGCTGGGTGGGACTACAGGCATCCTCCACAACACCTGGCTATTTTTAGAGATGGAGTTTTGCTCTTGCTCAGGCTGGCTGCAAACCAATGAACTCAGGCAATCAACTTGCCTCAGCCTGCCCAGGGTGTTAGGATTACAGGCATGAGCCACCCCGTCCAGCCTTCTACATCTCTTTTTTTTTTTTGAGATAGAGTCTCAAGCTGTCCCCCTGGGTACAGTGCTGTGGCATCACAGCAACCTCCAACTCTTGGGCTTAAGTGATTCTTTTGCCTCAGCCTCCAAAGTAGCTGGGACTACAGGTGACCGCCACAATGCCCAGTTATTTTCTTTGTTGCAGTTGTCATTGTTTTAGCTGGTCCAGGCAGGGTTCAAACCAGCCAGCCTCAGTGTATGTGGCCGGTGCCCTACCCACTGAGCTATGGGCGATGCCTCTTTTTTTGTTTTTAGGACAGTGTCTCTCTCTGCCATGGCATCTGAGCTCTTAACAACCTCAAACTCTTGGGCTCAGGTGAACCCCTTGCGTCAGCCTCCCAAGTACCGTGTTTCCCTGAAAATAAGACCTAAAAATAAGCCCTAGCAGGATTTCTATGCATTTGTTAAATATAAGCCCTACCCCAATAATAAGACCTAGTGATGGGCATGGCTATGCAGATATGCTGCATAGCCATGCCATGCATTTCAGAGCCGAGCAGTAAAGAAGACTGGAATACCTTTTATCTGCCACAGCTCCTTTCTCTGAGCCATTCGCACTTGCACAGGGGCACATGTGGTAACCAGGGTTGCAGGCATCCTATTATGCATGTGAGAACGGCTAGGGGAAAGGAGTTCACGCATCACTAGCACCAGCCCCACCAAGGTCAGCTCCCCCTGTGAGGTTCCAGAAGAAGATAACTTAACTGTATTTGAATAAATGTAGATTGTTGTATTATCCTTAATAAAAATAAGACATCCCCTGAATATAAGCCCTAGTGTGTCTTCTTGAGAAAAAATAAATATAAGATAGTGTCTTATTTTCAGGGAAACACAGTAGCTGGGACTTCAGGAGGCCATCAAAACACCTGGCTAGGATCAGTGCCTGTAGCGCCAGCCACATGAACTAAGGGTGGCGGGTTCAAACTGGGCCAGGCCAGCTAAACAACAACAACAATGGCAACAAAAAAATAGCCAGGTGTTGTGGCAGGTGCCTGTAGCCCCAGCTACTTGGGAGTCTGAGGCAAGAGAATTGCTTATGCCCAAAGGTTTGAAGTTGCTGTGAGCTGGGATGCCATAGCACTCTACACAGGGCAACAACTTGAGACTCTGTCTCAGAAAAAACAAAAACAAAAACACCTGGCTAGTTTTTTCTAGTTTTAGTAAATCCTGGGTCTCACTCTTTCTCAGGCTGGTCTTAAACTCTGGACATCAGGCAATTCACCACCCTACTCTACCCCTGGCCTCTTAGAGTGCTAGGATTATAGCTGTGAGCCACCACACCCTGACTTGCTTGACTGTTTTCACTGTTATAACAACATCATAAAATATAACTTTTTTTTTTTTTT